TTGCCATCCCATCTGTCTGAGTGAGTGAGGCAGTAGAGAGACAACCTGTGTTTGCATACACAATGGTGCTCTATAATCCTGTCCTGAGCAGATAGCTAGTCTCTGTTGAGACTGACTGTCGTGACTGAAAATAAATCTGGAGAACATCAATAATTGTATTATCTATAAAACGGTTGTAATATCTATAAATTATTTATTTTATCTGGAAATACGTCTAGAGATAGAGTTCGTGTGTAATTTATGTAGGATCCACGATACAGGGGACAGTTATAATACGGTGGTAAAATAAAAACAAGAAATATCGATTTAAAAAAAAAATAAACGACTCGCAGATTGCCCACAAAGTACTTTAAACGGAAATAAAATGTTTATGTCGGGGAGGCTACGCGCCCAGCGAATAAATGACATTAAAATTTATTGAATAAGGTAAATTTAAGCGCGGCGGCATAATGGCACCCATAATTCTACTTCATTCCGTGGCAGTCGTAAGATTCATCTTAGGGTTAGGGTTGTATTTTACATCACAAGGAATTTACAAGAGGCCGTAAAAACCTCATGGCATCAGATAGGCGGAGGTACATCATAATTTGATAAGACATCCTGACCGAAAACAGGGAGCAGTGGAAGGATGAGTACATCTGGTACTGCCAACTAGGATTGGAGATTACGGCAAAAATTTTCAACAATTACATTATACAGAAAATTTCGGGAATCAAGGAAGTGACACAACATTACTATTTAAAAATATATCTATTGTTTTTCGAAGTATTCTCCGCGAAATTTGACACATTTTTCCATACGATGTAACCAATCATTGAAGCAACCATTCCATTCGGAAGGTGGGGTCTCCAAACTGGCCGTTTTGTAGGCGTCCATAGCTTCTTGAGGTGATGAAAATCTCTGTCCACGCAATTTATTCTTTATCTAAGGGAAAGTATAGAAATCATTAGGGCTTAGGTCGGAGCTATACGGCGGATGGTCTAATAATTCTATGTTTTCTTGCTCTAAAAATTCTTTTGTTCTGTGTGCGGTGTGAGAACTCGCATTGTCGTGATGGAGGATGATGCGGCTCTTGCAGTTCTCTTTACGGAGTTCAGAAACGACCTGTGGCAAACAAATGCTAGCATACCATTCTGCATTAACCGTTCTTTGTCCCTCAAGAGGAATAGTCGTAACATGGCCGGTTTTGGAGACAAACGTGGCCACCATTTTTTTTGCAACACTCCGTGAACAAACAATTTTTGTTGGCTTTAACTCATTTTCGAACACTCAAACTTATGACTGGTTTTTTGTTTCGGGTTTGTACGCATATATCCAGGATTCGTCACCTGATACGATGTCGTATACAGCATTTGAGGACCCTGCGTGGAATCTTTCGAGAGTTCTGACGCACCAAGTAACGCGAGCCGCTTTTTGCTCTTCACACAGCGAATGCGGTATCCATCGGGAAACAACTTTTTTACACCTAATTGTTCATGCAAGATTATTTGTATTTGACTCATGCCAATTTCTAAAGTTGCCTGAATTTCGCGGTATGTCACATGTCGATCTTCCTCAATCAGCTTACGCACAGCATCAACGTTTTCTTGGGTGACTGCAGTTTTTGGACGATCTTGACGAGGATCATCACTGAGCTTGACACGTCCACGTTGAAATTCAGCAAACCAGCGATAAATTGTGGTTTTGGATGGGGCTTCATCACCAAATGCAGAAATCATCCGGTCAACACACTGTTTTTGTGTTAAACCACTTCGAAAGTCATAATAAATAATCGCTCTTGAATTTTCTCGAGTCAATTCCATTTTCTCAACGACTAAACAGTTTGACAAAACCTTGTGACAAGACCGAGAATCTTTTTTTAAATAAATAAATGGTATTCAGTTTTAAAAAGCCAAGGACTTTTCAATTAAAAAGATTTTAATATGACAGGAACAGTGGAAATATTCCATTCCCGATACTTTTAGTGCAGCCTATGTATGGTATACGTGTTTGTAACATGTAGTTAAAACACAATGTTGCAAAGCACGTTTTGAAAACCAACAAAACTATGCCACCGCATCAACAAGTCCTCACTGAGACCTTGAGAGAAGAAGCGGTAAGAAACTCATACGTAAAAAACAAGAATGATTTTTATAGAAAGTTTGAGCTGAGAGTTAGTATAATTTTAGGCTTGCTGTTTATGCAGATCTGGAAAGACCAGTATCACTGCGACCTCTAAGATCCATTGTGATCGCTGCTATGGCTAGAGTTCACTGCTAAGCCCAACGTCTCAATTAATAGAATTAGTTGCTTAGCTGTGAGTAATTTCACTTCTTCTGGGCTGAGTACATAGTTTCACAGGCTAGGGTTTTGTTTCCGCATTAAGCGTCCACAATCTGTTAGGATGTGCAGAGGCGTTTCTTCCGTTAAGATACAGAACCGACACATCCTTCAGTTGCCTAATCCCAGGATCGACATGTGCTTTTTTAGAGAACAGTCAGGGCTCTTGCTAGTATACGCAGTTTATTATTCCTTATTCCCAGGGCTTCTGAATCGAATTAACGATCAGAGCCCGGATTAAGGTTTTAGAATGTTTTAAGCTTGGTGTATCAGACCAGATCTTAAGTAAGTGATTTATCGTGATAAAGAGTTTCAAGGGTCAATCGGGCTAGGCTTTTTGAGATTCCACAAAATGGCTCGGTTTCAAATTGTGTACTCTTTGAGCCCTCCCGTGCGAGCCGCATGAAATCCATCTTAAAACGACCCTGTTGTCACACCCCAGGGCGTTTAGATAGTTCACGCATTCTCCATCTAGCTTTGAGTTCACTAAGTTTGATTTCAGTGCTAGCAGTGCTGCTTGACTATCAGAGCTTATATAGATAATATGGTCGACGTAGTGTTTTTTGCAGATTGATTTCCACACACTGAAGTATGACGAAAATGTGTGCTTGGAAGATAGAGGTGAATTTACCATCGATCTATACCTTATATCCATATAGGGCTACTGACCTCACAGATAACCTATCCATTCAGTCACTCTTCCCTGGAAGGTAGCTCCACTATTTACTTTCTATTAAAATTGTATAGTGGATGATATCTGAGATCATGCATAAGATCGGTGTTTCCGTAATTGAGACGAGCATGGATCTCAATCTATAGGAAAGCAAGTTCAGACCGCCCTGGGCTTTAATCCTATACAAACTAGCCCTCGCTTTCTTATCTCAGTGAAGATCAAGAGGCTTTAGGCATATAAGCGCATTAAGAGCCACTCCAGGCGATGATCGTATCGTTCCAGTTGCCATTAAACAGTCAGTCCTTTGTAGACTACTTAGTCTCCCGCAGTCGTCTTTTGGATGACCTTATTACACCAGACACTGGAGATGTAGGTAAAAATTGGCCTCACTATGCCGCTGTTCAGCCATAGGATCATACTAGGACGCAAGCCCCAGTTGTTCCCAAACATACGACTACACGTACCTGAAGCAATTTTATCCTTGTGACATACGTTGCTAAGGTGAGAGTTCCACGTTAGTTTTTGATCGATTGTTACGCCCAAATACTTAACTTCAGTAGATAATGGTACTTCTTTACCATTAAGTTTCGGTGTGACTAATTTGTCCAACCGTTTTTTTGAACCACCTGATGGTAAGTGGTTGCTGCGGCCCATAGACATCTACATATATCCTCTATTACAAACCAAAATGCAGATGCGTTGTCACCCGTGAGGAATAAGATGGAATGCCTCATTTCCAGTAAAAAGGGTCTCCAGTTCTCTACATTCACCATACGAAACACAGTAGCGTTAAGCTGCTATTTTATGCTGGTATTCTGTGAAAGCGTGGTCCTTCCCCGGTCGAGCCGACCCATTCGTGCTAAAACTATACTACTTATATAGCTGCAGCAAGGTTCTACCACGTATAAAAATTCTAGTCTTTTCTTGATAAAGATTATTATAACATTTTATGAGCATTAACTGTTTTATGATAAATTACTTTGGCAGAAACCCCTCGCAGTGACCACAAGGTTATCAGCATAACCCAGTGTGTCAATGTGAAGGTCTCTCTTTTATATAATAATTAGTCAACCGCAAGAGTCCAAAGAAAGAGTGACAGTGCACATGTATATATTTGAACTGAATAATATCATGACAACTTAACTGCCCAAACTCACTTTCTGTTCTACTCAAGGTTAGCTAATAGAGAATGCCATATGGTTAAGTTACCATTAGGCTTTTTAAGAAGCCCGATTCTATTAGGTTTAGCTGTCGATAGCATTTTTTGTAGTCTTGCACTGTGAGGCAAAGATTTCATCTTCCTCGCAAAACTTCCTCCACGATGTTCTCTTAATTTTCCTACTTTTTTATTACATTCAGTTAGGGTTGCACTATATATTTCCCACTCTTTAGTCTTTTTGATCATATTGAAGAGTTTCCTGATATTTTCCCTAAGCTCCTTTAGCTTAGTATTCCGCCAAGGAACTTTTCGTGTTGAGGTCTTGATTTTGACGGGACAACTGTCTTCGAAGACTTCACGGATACCTACGGTTACAGTCTCCGTCGCAAACTCCAGACATTCAATCGTTTTGATGCTTTTAGGAAACGTTTCCAAATTCTTCCTTAACCTGTCTCTATAGATATCCAAGAAGGTCGCTTTTGGATCCCTAAAAGCAATAGTTTCATAAATTGGTAATGTAATGCTCTAATCACAAACTTAATGTCCCTGTGATCAGACATCGAGTTTTCACTACTAACATGCTAGTCAGTTATCCGCCTGGATATGTTATTAGTAGAATAGGTTATCTCTAAAACTTCTTACCTAGTAGTCACCATCAGGTTAACTGTTAGTTCCTTTTTAATTTAACTTTCCTAGTGAAATCCCAACTCTTTCGACACCCACGGAACAAAATAGGTTCTCTTAAGTTATCGCCGCAATGAATTCCTTTAAGTAATCGAACTCGTTTTAAAGCTCATGCCGACCTCTATTTGCAGCAAACAGTTAATAGGTCCATGTCTATGATTACAGGGTAAAGGAGTCATGGAGACATTCTGGCTTCTGGGGAAGATCGGTGGGCTCCAGGAGGACAGCCCACGATGTATGCGGCTTCACGACTACGATCAAAACATTCTAGAGTTGCTCATACAGTCTTAATATAGTATTAAATGTCGATAGTGAGGGGGTGTGCCAATATGTGATTTTATTTAAATACCTTCCTAGTTACTATATAGACATAAGTAGATAAAATGAATTCGACCCATTTGCGGTGCTTCTCTTCTTGTGTATATTTTTTTTTAAATTAATAAATAAATATGTATGTGTTTGTAAATATGATACGGCTGAAAGCCCAAGTACGGCCTTATACCTAGGTTTAGCCGCCTACAGGTAGGTGCAGACGATTGCGTTTGGTTAAACTTAACTGTTAAGTTTGTCAAAAATACGAAAGTACGTAACAAGTAATATCAGCTTCAGCAGGTTAATTAAGCGCGGTTCTTTCGGCATTCATCTAATTTATAAATTAAACAGGCACACGTACAGGCACGTAGTTGTAGCCGGCTTCACCTAGGTGTTTCCATACTTCTACCTTTAGCCGTGAAAAATTCAATACCAGAAAAAATAAGAGTTTACTTTTATCTTCCCGTTACAATTTATACAGTTATATAGTACTGTTCACGTATTACATAGAAAATCGGAAATTAAACTTAATATTAGTTAAAATAAGTTATTTGCATACTGTTTAATGGAAAAATGACTAAAATGAACCATATGCGCTACTATTACCCAATTTAGAAAATGTTGATATCGAAAACTAGGAATTATTTGAATAATTTTTTTCAATAATTTGTACACAATGCATTGGACGCCAAGATACAGGTTTATTCTAGTTCGGGGTCCAACGAAAAATATTTGTATATCTTTTCTTGTACGTTTTTTAGCTCACTGTTCTTGCATACATTTGTCAAATCTATATGTCAATAAAATTTTATGTATTAATAATGTTAATAATTCATATTAATAATATCTATTTTAGTTACTGAATATGTCCTTGTTTTTTTTTTTGGTAATAAATAAATAGCGCGTAAGTATTTTGTTTGCGTGTGTGTATGGACGAATTTATGTATAAATTAATAAATTATTTTTTATATTTATTTATTTACTTATTTACGGCACCTACTTCCACTTTCTAACATACACTGGGTTGATGGCATGAAATGCGGACTGACATTGATAACGACCTTTGTTACAATTAAAAATAAAAAATTTTTTTTTATAAATAAATAACTTTCACTTTTTTAAGTCAAATTAAATTTTATCAAATCTATTACTTTCCTATTCATTCATTTATTCATTATAGGCTATCAAAAATCCACTGTTGGACAAAGGCCTCCCCCATAAATTGCTTCCTAGAGGTGATCTTGACATAGATCCTACGCAGACGAATTGGCGACCGCAGTTACTTAGTTGTTAATAGGAAGATGCTGGAGCCCATCTTCGGTTTCAGTTAACATCTGTTGCCTTTTACAACTGTACTCCCACGGCATGATATAGTTCAGTGGATATTCTTATGCCGTCATTACACAGCTATTTTTATATTAAGGCTCAATCCATTAGTAAGATGTATTTTTATCTCAAATGTAACACGGAAGGTGAGAATAAATATATACGCAAGTCCACAGAGGTTTCTTTTACGGAATAAGGGTCACAAGCGAGCACACAGTCCACCCGATAGTAAGTGGATTCTGTGGCCTATAAACATCTACATTTATTCTCAATTAAGAATCAAAATGCAGATGCATTGTCACCCCTGAGGACTAAGATGGAATGCCTCGTTTCCAGTAAAAAGGGTCTCCAGTTTTCCGTACTCATCAAACGATACACGGCAGCATTAAGCTGCTATTTTACGATGGCTATTAAGCTGCTATTCTGTGAGGGAGTGATCCCACCCCGGTCGAGCTGTCCGGTATAGCTGCAGCGTGGCTATACCACATATGAAAACCTGTTTGAATTTGCTTGTAGGTTTCCATCGGCTGCAGTAGCCACTTACTACCGGTGGACTAAGTTCGTTTGTCACTTCAATTTCGAAAAAAAGTGAAAGTTGTACTGAAAGTTTATAAGAACTCATTTTCTATCTCATCATCATCATCATCATCATCATTACAGCCCTTCACAAGTCCACTGCTGAACATAGGCCTCCCCCAAAGAATGCCACAAAACACGGTCCTGAGCCACCTGCATCCATCGACTTCCTGCATGTCTTACCAGGTCGTCACTCCATCTCGTGGGGGGACGCCCTACACTTCGCCTACCGGTACGAGGCTGCCACTCGAGAACCTTTCTTCCCCATCGGTTGTCGGTTCTTCGAGCTATATGGCCGGCCCACTGCCACTTCAGCTTACTAATCCGTTGGGCTATGTCGGTCACTCTGGTTCTACTGCGGATATCCTCATTCCTAAGTTTATCACGCAGAGAAACTCCGAGCATAGCCCTCTCCATAGCTCGCTGAGCGACCTTGAGCTTCCTCATACGGCCAGCAGTGAAGGACCACGTCTCAGTTCCGTAAGTCATCACTGGCAACACGCACTGGTTGTACAATTTCGTTTTAAGGTTTTGAGGTATGTCTGACGAGAAGATGTGTCGTAGCTTCCCGAACGCTGCCCAGCCTAGTTGAATCCGTCGATTGACCTCTCGGTCGAAGTTGGACTTACCCAGTCGGACTATTTGTCCCAGGTAAACATACTCGTCAACAACTTCGAGCTTAGTGTTCCCAACAACTATCGGCATAGGTGTGACATGGACATTAAACATGATCTTAGTTTTGTCCATGTTCATCTTAAGACCTATCCGTTGGGAAACACTATTGAGGTCATTGAGCATAGTGCTTAGGTCCTCCAGCGATTCTGCCATAAGGACTATATCGTCGGCAAATCGAAGGTGAGTGATGTACTCACCATTGATGTTGATACCGTATCCTTTCCAGTCCAGAAGCTTGAAAACATCTTCCAATGCAGCGGTGAAGAGTTTCGGGGATATGACGTCACCCTGTCTTACACCTCTCTGCAATTGGATAGGTTTCGTACTCTGGTTCTGTACTCGGATAGCCATCGTAGCCCTACTGTACAAGCACTTCAACACTTCGATATACCGACAGTCAACTTGGCACCGCTGAAGGGACTGCAGCACCGCCCAAATTTCGACGGAATCAAAGGCTTTCTCATAGTCCACATACGCCAGACATAGTGGCAAATTGTACTCTTCGGACTTCTGTACAACTTGCCGAAGGGTATGTATGTGGTCTATGGTGCTAAAGCCCTTTCGGAAACCGGCTTGTTCGGGAGGCTGGAAGTCGTCAAGTCTGCGCGCGAGACGATTCGTAATGACTCTCGAAAACAGCACGTAGACGCGGCTCAGAAGGGAAATCGGTCTGTAGTTCTTCAAGAGAGCGTTGTCACCTTTCTTGAAGAACAAGACCACCGCACTTCTGCTCCACGCCTCCGGTGTAATGCCACCATGGAGGACGGAATTAAAGAGCTTCTGAAGGACTTCAAGTACCGGTCTTCCACCCGCTTTCAGAAGCTCCGCTGTAATTCCATCCTCGCCTGGGGCCTTACCGTTTTTAAGGTGCTGGAGAGCCATCCTAATCTCGCTCAGACTGACATCCGGGATATCTTCGGAATAGTGTCGGATGAGACTCGCTCTTGGATCGTTACTCACACTTGCGTGTGGCTCCAACGATGATGTGTACAGCTGCCCATAGAACCTCTCAATCTCACTCAAAATCTCAGGTGTCCCGGAAACGATGCTGCCACATTCCGTCTTCAGCTTTGACAGTTGGCTCTTTCTGGCAGACAGATCTCTGGCAAAGACTTTGGAGCCTTGGTTCCGCTCGATCGCTTCTTCAATACGAGCTGTATTGAAGTTGCGTAAGTCCCGCCGCATGCATTTGGAGATCTGTCTGTTCAGATGCCTGTATGCTGTCAAGTCTGTTGAAGAATGTAGCTTCATCTCCCGTCTAACAGCCATGAGATTAAGAGTGTGATCGGAGAGTTTTTGTGTTCTTCTGCGGCGGGTCTTGCAGAACTTAGCTCCAACCGCATGGACAGTTTCCACGAGCTTGTCATTCATATCGTCCACTTCATTGCAGTCTTCTAGGCACTGAAAACGGTTTTGTAACTCGAGCTGAAAGGTTTCGGGACTTTGAAACAGAGCACGAGGGGGACGGAGCGTTGACTTCATTAGACGAGACCTCTCCAACTTAACGTTTAGGTTCAGTGTGCCTCTAACCATTCGGTGATCGCTACCAGTTTTCACCCTCGCGATCACGGAGACATCACTGAACAGTTGTCGTCTGGTCGTCATAATGAAGTCAATCTCATTTTTTGTGGAACCGTCGGGGCTCGACCAGGTCCACTTCCTGTGGGGCCGCTTCTGGAAGAAAGAGTTCATTATAAAGAGTCCCTCTTTCTCCATGAAGTCGGCCAGCTGCTGGCCCCTTGGGTTCCGTTGCCCTATTCCAAATTTCCCTACTTTCAGCTCACCGTTCTCTCTTGTGCCTAGTTTTGCATTGAAGTCTCCCATTAACACCGTATATTGGGTTTTGGAGGAATGCATGGCTCTAGAGATATCCTCATACATTTCCTCCACCTCCTCATCGGGGTGTGCCGAGGTTGGTGCGTAAACCTGTATGACCTTCAGCGAATACCGTTTGGTGATTCTGAGTATAAGGTACGCAACCCTCGTCGACACACTCCCGATTTTTACAACGTTGTTAACGAGAGACTTGTGGACGACAAATCCGACACCTCCTTGGGACAGATGGTCGCCCTCCCGGTGATAGAGCAAGTTGCCGGATTCGAGGATTACCGTGTCCTCCCCCTCTCTTCGGACTTCAGATAATCCTATAATATGCCAGCGCAACTTGTCTATCTCTTCTTCCAGCTCCACGATCTTCTCGTCAGTCCTCAGGGTGCGTGCGTTGTACGTTGCCAGGTCGAGTCGTCTAAGGTGGCAACCGAACCTCCACCGGAGATTCTTAGCACCCCCTGCCCCGCCGTTACCATGGTCGCCACCGTAGCCAGGAATAGCGGGGCCGCCGGGGACTGGGGGCCGTTTTTTTGTTGCTCTCATCATTGGGGGGTATTTGCCATAGTTGCCAC